GTGAGGGAAACTCGAAGTCGAGATTATTATAAATATTTAATGTGAAAAGTCATAAGAATGTGATCATTAATATGATTACCCCAACAACAAGACAATATGGCATTAGTTTGATTATATCAATGATAGCAATGATAGCAATGATAGCGTGCATTCATTTCATAAATCTAAAGAACGGCCCAAAACATGCTTCGCCTATACTTTCACTTATTAGAAAAAACAAATCGGATTTTTCCTACAAATCTATATTCATTTGATTAAAAACTATTTTATTTCAATTCTTAAAGTTTGAAATTATTATAATGTATTGAATTCTATAACACAGAATATTCTTGTCTTTTCCCAAATGGGTTTTAGTGCACAAGTTTTGAAAGTGTACTTAATTGATAGAATAGACATTTTTATACAATATCACGAATGCATTACCGACTGATTAGGCAATACAATCATATATTGTAAAACAATATTTATTTAAACTACTATATATAATATTATTCAGAATCTTAAATCATTTACACGATTCTTATTAGTAACAAAATAATACGTTATTATGCTTAATATAAGATTGAATATATTATAATATCTATAAATGTTTGATATCTATAATTCTAGTACAATGTATAAGTTGTAAATTAAATAGATATTGTATACCGTATTTAAATTTATTAATTAAGAAAAATTCTAATATTTCTATTCATTTCGTGACGTTTACATTATTTGCAGAAAAAAGTTAATGAAAGCAATGAAAGTTTATAAATCATTGCTTTCAGACATTTACAATATATTATATATTAGTAAATATTAATTAAATTAGAAAACATATTTGATATTATTAATGTGTGTCATTTAGTGAACACTTTATAATCAACCAATTTAAGCACTTTTAAGCAAATGTAAGTATTTTTAATATTAATTTTAAAAGTTGTAGACTATTTAGTATTTAGTATTATTATTTAGAAATATTTATGATTAAACTATTTAGTATTATTAACTAATTTAACAATTTATCTCGTATTTAGAGTTGTATACAATACAGTATATTAATAATGTATTCAAAATGTGATAATTAATCAATCATTTTAGAAATATCACGTTATTATAAAATAGTAGTTATAATAAAACGGAAAAAATGAGTTTTAGTTATTGGAGAATAAATCACTCGTTTCTGTAAAGAAATTAAGAGTTAATAAATAATGAATAATTTGTTATGTTTTACTCAATAAGTCCCTATATTTTGCGATTCATTGACTTTTGCATACATGCTATGGATAGCATTGAAGCAAAGTTCGCACAACTTTCTACTTTCTATATTAGTATCGATTTTATGAACACTTATTCTGTACAACAATTTACTGAAAGCAGAAATATTGTGTTTTACTCACACTTTACTATACATTCTGTGTATTCTCTTCACTAACACATAGTTTTCTGTTCACAAATATTTTGTTAAATTAAATTATTATTTTGTTTTCGATGTATTTGTGTGCATATAATTTAAATGATTGTATTATTTCATTGAGTTTTTGCTTTCGTTAATGAATTTAAGAAAATCATTGGTTTGAATTATGACACCAAAAATGCAATTCATTACACAATTTTCTGGTTAATGTGCTAACTCTCCACTCAATTATATTTGTCTCAACACTAAAAGTGATGGCATTTTCATAAATGAAGAAAATATTAGTTTTTATTTATTTTGCTTACAAGTTATAACTTTTATCATCACAAATATTTTTATAGTTTAACGAATTTATAATTTTTATGTATTTTTCTAAAAACATCTGTAAAATGAAGAAAAGAGAAATGTTATCCTTAAAGTTCTTGTATTCAAATCCTTTGGGAAAGTTGTTAATGAATGACAAGATATCAAAAAACAGTTTAATAATTAGAGCTGAAAACGAGCCTAACCTGGACTCAGACCCCCAACGCTCACAATATGTTCGCTCGATTCCGAAAGCCTTACTCTATAAGGATCTTCTACTCCAGGGATATCTCGTTTATCCGAAATTTCTTAAGAAGATTGAGAACTTTGAGGTCAGAGCCGACGACTTATGGTTGGCTACATATCCAAAGTCAGGCACCACTTGGACTGAAGAGATTCTCTCTCTTATTTACAATAACGGAGACATTGATAGAGTAAAAGATGTATTACTCGCTCGACGTGTTGTGCACTTCGAAGTCGGACGACCTGTCGGTCATTCGCGTTGGCTTAAGAAATTAAAAACTCCTCGACTTCTGGCCACACATTTGCCGGCGACACACATCCCAACACAACTTAAGCACAGCAAATGCAAGGTTTGCTCATTATATTCATACAATTTCTATTCAATCATTTCGTTTTATTGTTTTTACTGTAAATTAGAAATTAGTTATAAAAGCTGAAAGAATTACATTAATTACCAAATAATTTACAGATAATTTATGTGATCCGTAATCCGAAAGACAACGCCGTGTCGTACTTCCATCACCACAGGATGAGCACATTCTTAGGCAACTATAAGGGTTCGTGGGATAACTTTGTGGACCTCTTCCTAAAAGGACATTTAGTGCACGGAGACTGGTTTGAACACATGAAAGGCTTCTGGCATTTACGACAACTCTATCCAAATAGAGTTCTATTTGTCTCATACGAAGAAATGAAAACTGTAAGACATTTTGCCAATTCTGTACCAAATATTACCATTTTATACCAATTATTACAATGTATTATTAGTAATGATTTATTACGTATATACGACTTGTGTTACATACATGCATATTCATGAAATTCTTTGCACAACTTTACACAATTTACCAAATATTTTATAAGGGAATTGTTAAGTTATTATAATACAAATTATTTTTAGATTATTATCTTATGAATATTTATTCAAAACTTTTGCAAACTATACTATACTTGAAATAATGTTAAAATATAGGATTTACCGAAAATGATTGAAATAATAGCAAACTTTGCCGGACATAAACTAACAAAGGATACGATCGACAGAATTGCAAAGCACTGCACATTCGATGAGATGAAGACCAATAATATGGTGAATCGGGAGAACCTTCCGATCAAAGACCTCTTCGATATGAGTAAATCAAAATGTAGATGACCTTGATGCGTCCACCGCCAGATGCGACCGATTATTTGGTGCCAAACAATGTCTGCTCGAACTCTAACTCCAATTATAGTATGAGTACTGAGAAGACGGAACTCCTGTCTCCGGACACGTGCTCTACATTCAGCTGTTCTAATGAAGACAATAAGCTATTGGAACTGTTAGATGACGTCAATCCACCGGTAATACCCCCGCGAACCGGCAATTGGAGGGAAACTAGTTTTTCTGATCAAAACCCAAACCAGAAAACCCTAATCGATTCGTCCACCGCTCGAAGTAATGGTATTAAATCGGATCTCATGGCTAATACTCCGACCTCACAGTCGTTGATATTAGACGCGACCACTCTTTTGCAACAGCCGTCGCGTTATGTTAACGTTGGTATCAATGACTCGACCGATACTCTCAACTCAAACAACGTTAGAGTTAACGGACAACAAATCAATTGTTAACTCAAATCAGTTTTCAAAATATCGATCAAACGTTTCATTTGTATAAATTGTGTACAAATTGTGTATTTATTTAAAGTTGTATTTCAAATGGACATCATTTACTCAATTCATTTTAGAAGAGAATATTTATGATTGAGAACGAACTGGATCAATTTGAGTGATTATGTTACGAGCGATTTCGCCAATAACGGCCATAAATAGACCAAATTGTGATTAATTGTTGACTCATAATAGCTTATAAACAATTATAAGTATTTGTATCCAAATAAAAGGATTACATAACAATCTCATTGTTATTTTGCGCGAATAGCTCTACAATTAAGCCATTTAACCAAAATTGATCCAGCCAATTTTCAATAAGCTAGACTCATACTTTAGTATTCATTTTCATATAAAATACATTTTCATCCATAGAAATAAGGCATTTGTTTAACTCAAAGAATTTATATAAAAATATAATGATATTATGGTATAAAGAATATTGAGATTTTTCAAAAACTCAAAGTCGATCGTCAAATGAATTAAAATTACTATAATTTATATATAAAGTAAATTAAATTTACCAAAATATTTATAATAATGTTAGTCCGGAGTTGAATCAATTAATTCTTTCAAACATTGCCAACATTTTTGACGATTAATTGTTTTAATTAAATCATTAAATCGTATAATAGTTTTTAAAGTGAGATTTTAACAAAAATATCTTATGGTTATGAAAATGTGTTTTAAAAGAATTGACAATTTTATACAACAAATTCATTTTAATTGATTAAACAGTTGTTTTTTGTTTTATATTATATTAATATAAATATTTTGTATATATTTAACGAATGAACTTAAACTCAATGTATAGAAAGTGACAAAAAAGTGTTCAAACGATTCTTGAAAAAAATGTACAGAAAAGTGCAGTTCATGTCAATGTGTTTTTCTCGATTGACTGGTTGTCCACTGAAACAATTGCCTGTGATATTGAATAAAATACATAAGAATTCACATTAATATATATACTTTTTTGTGAAATTAATGCATCGACTTTTGGGATTTTCATGTCTTTTTGGCTCATATTGTATTCATATATTCGCATGAATTGTATTATTCTTTCCGATACGAAAAAATGAGAGCAAAAACATCTAAAAAATGCTGTTTCGCAGTGAATGGCAATGATTTTCATTTGAAGAATGTATAGAATCTATACTACAATATAGATCTTAAAACTGTTTTAGTGTTTATTTCATGAAATTAAAATAAACTAATGTTTTATTAACAAAATACTTTACAAAATGTCATTTTCTTTGATAAATCATATAAATTTTACAACAAATAATTTATTTCACTAAAAATGGCAATCAAAATGATAATACAATTTAAACTCAAAAGAGATATTTAGTTGTCATTAAATAGCAGACAAAGAGAGACGTCGTCTTCGACTGAATTATTAATACGACTGCTTTTGGTATAGAAAATAGGCTTCAAATTCTTGATTTCAATGTTTTTGTGTTTATATAACTGTCCGATATTTTTCTGCACAAAAGGTAAACATTTTAACAAAATTGAAAATATATACCACTTATTGAACACTTACTCCAATTAGTGGCGAAACAAGTTTTCGAAGTAATTCTTTCTTCTTTTTGTCCGTGAATTTGATTTTTTGGCAGTTAATGAGTTTGTCTTCGAAATGGTTCCACTCATTGATGTCGGAACCACTCATTTCACTCAAACTCACTTTAATGGCAGAGAAGCCCAATTTGATGGCAATTCCCTCATAAAGAATCAAAATGAGATCCAAGAGAATGGACTGAATTTGTTCGTGTTCTCCGAAATACGACAAACCGTTAATCAATTGTTCCAATAGGAAAAAGATGGCGTCTTCTGTGCGAATCATTTGGTCTTTGATTATCTTTCTGATGAGGACTGCATTCAAATGCGATGTCTTTAATGCGGTGTTTGAGTCGAGCCATGAGAGAGCCTTTGCGGTCGGGTATATAATAACGTTTGGAATGGTATTTAATAAATAGTTTCCTAATTCAGAGATATTTGTGTCGAAGACATCACTACTTATATCCGAAGAGTTTCCTTTAGTTGGGCTCAGAATAACTGCCAATAATTCAATAAACTCTTTGCCTAGAAATCGATTGATTTGATCGGAAATCACTTCAGCCTCAATGGGTTCGCTCTCGTCTTTCATGCCCTCCTCTATTGAACTATTCTTGGTTTTGATTTCATTCCACTTTTCATCGATTTTATTAAAAAGAAATGGCAAAAGAATGCTAACTATTGTCCCAACCTTTTGATACTCAGATTGGGTTTGAGGACAGTTTAAGATAAAGGATTTCACAAAACTTTTAACAATAATCCTGAGTTTCCATTGAGGAAGAAATTCAATGTCATTAAACACTGGTTTAAAGTCAGAGATTTGATCATAGATTTGAGTTTTGAGTACATTTGTGGCCAAACCTAACAAACAGTAACAGTTCTCATGTAAACCCCAAATGAATACTTGCATCCGATATGCATCTGATTTAGTGGTAATGTGTTCACTATTAGAGATAATATCTAAAACATGTTGTTTATCTGTTTCAGTGATCACAGCGTACACCAGACTCTTGTAATTTTCGTAACACTTGTGTTGATATTCTGGTCTCCAAATTGTATTCAAATTAGATGTCAGGTAAAAGAGACCATTAATTAGTGGAAATATATGTGGCATTAAAATGATTGTGCGCTCGCTTTTAATGCGTTTAAATAAACCCAACATAAGATTCACCACATATAAAATATTAGCCCGTTTTTGACCATAAGTGTTATCGTCTATCGACTCTACGTGAAGACCGATATCGCATATAAATTCCAATGCATTTATTTTGTAGTCTTTGATCCAATTTATAGATGCAATTAATTCTCTAATAAACTCTTCCTGATGTTTGATGTCTTCAAATTCATTACTGTATTCAAAATTCAAACATTCAATTGGTTCACAAAACTATAACCGAAAAATCAGTGTTAATCTAAGATATACCTGATTAACACAAGTCCTTCATATAAAGCGCATCTTTCCATTTGACTCAATTTCTGTAAATCTGAGGCTTCGCTTTGGATATAGCTTTTAATGGTTGGAAATAAAGGCTTCAAAGTATACAAATAATTAATATTCAAATGTAGTGGTCATTAAAGTGAATCATATCTTACGACTAATAGTGTTGGATATGTTTGACATATTTTAATGAATAGAGAACACGCGTGTCGGCGAAGATTCTTCACGTCTTTGGATTTGGTCTCCTGACCATCGATTGTAAACGAAGATAACACTAATGTCTAACCAAACAAA